GTCTCATAGTGGGGCTGGCCATGTGGTCCTCTCTGAGAGCCTAAATTGTAAACATCCAATTATCCAATTTGCAGAAGGTAAGAGATGACAGTGGGAGCAAAAATCCGTTTTCAGGGTCCCTACGTAGATTACGCCTCTCGTAGGTCCCCTCTGAGCACAGTCGAGGGATGTGAATAACCTTGTTATAAGGCAGAAACTATGGTAAACTTGATATGGCTGATGTAATTAGGTTAGAATGTGGAACTGGTCAACTGATCTCCCTTTCGAGCCATTGTGGATTTGTTCTAGTTGTCAATATTTCCTGCTTTTTTTCTCAACAGAGATCTTTTTTCTCCAGTTTATTTTGATATTGATCTTGGTATTTTCTTCTTTTCCTTTTTAAAAATAATATATTTGCTTTTTTGGTGGTGGAGGTGTATGTTTTCCAGTACAGGAAGCACAGGATGGGCAGATGTATAGAAACCCTAACTGGTGCAATGGCTTATCCGGGAGATGGATGGGGGCAAGGCGGAGTTTGGAGGGAAATGGAGACAAATAACGAATACAGGAAAGGGGAGGATGTTCTCGACCTATTTAATATGACTGAACTATGGAAGTGTATGATATGTGAATTATATCTCAATAAGACTGTTGGGGGAAAAAATCTGCAAAAAAAGAAAAAAGAAATCAAACAGAATGATGATGGCAACAAATGTACAAATGTGCTTGACACAATGGATGTATGTATGTATGGATTGTGATGAGTTGTACGAGCCCCCAATAAAATGATTTTTAAAAACTCCAATTTAAAAAAAGGGAAAGAAATCAAGGAAAACATAAGGAAGCAATATGCTTCTGTTTATGGTGATAGGAAATCTGGCATTAAGTTGTGATTAATGTAATTAATGCCACTAAACTGTATACCTACAACAGGTTGAACTAACAAACACGGTTATTTATGTGTGTGTGTGTGTGTGTGTGTACATACAGACAACAACGTTAAGAGCGGCTATTGATATAGCTTATAATGAACCAGACATTTGGTTTCTTGATTTAAAGATCCAGAGTCATAGTCTTATGAGACAAGTCAGTCAATGGACATGGCATTGTTTTTAAAGTCTTTGCTCACTCTCCCAGTTTCGATGGTGTCTCCCTAGTGTCTTGGACACTGAATAAGGAAGACCATAGAAGAGTCGATGCATTTGAACGGTGGTGCTGGAGAAGAGCACTGTAAGTGTCCTGGACTGCTGAAAGGACAAACCAATCTGTCTTGGAAGAAGTAAGGTCAGAGTGGTCCTTAGAGGTAGGGATGGCAAGACTTTATCTTACATACTTTGGACATACTGTCAGGAGAGACCAGTCCCTGGAGAAGGACATGCTGTTTGGTAAAGTGGAGGGGCGGTGAAAGAGGAAGGCCCTTGAGGAGATGGGTTGACACCGTGGTTGCATCAATGGGCTCAGGCACAGGAACCACTGTGAGGGTGCTGCAGGGCAGGGCAGTGTTTCATTCTGTTGTGCGTAGGGTCGCTATGGGTCAGAGCTGACTCGATGGCACCTGACAACAAGAACCTAGCGGCTGGAGTCTTAAAAGCTTATGAGCAGCCATCCTTGAGACCACAGTTGGTCTCTGCTTGCCTGGGGCAGCAGAAAAAGGAGGCTGGAATTGGAGGAGGAACTAGAATGTATGTCTAATTACTTCCATAAATGACTACTGCCTCCTTTGCCAGGAGAATACAACTGGATGGTGCCTAGCTCCTATTAATGTCTTGATAAAAGATTTTATAGAAGAATCGTGACCAAAGGGGTAGAATATGTGGAACAGAATTTCCAATTCTCATGGATCCTGACTCTCTGGAGCCACTGAGGCCAGAGAAACCCCTGAAACGATGGCTCTCCAGTAATCTTTAAACCTTAAGTCATTAATGCCCCTTGAAATGTTCTCCAAACCAAATAATAGCTTAGCTTAATTAGTATAAAGAGTCTGCCTTGAACAAGCACTCATCACTTTATTAGGGGCTCATACAACTCTTATCACAATCCATACACACATCAATTGTGTAAAGCACATTTGTACAGTCATTGCCCCAAGCACTCTTTTAAAGAATCACAGTGATCAAGTTGACAATTAAAGGTGAGATGAGAAGTTCAGGGGGCAGTGAGTTTATCTTAATGGTGGTGGAAATTTGGAGGACAGTGGGAATGGTTGTACAACTTTGAAGACTGTAACCAGTGTCACTGAATCACATAATGTGGAAACTACGGAATTGGTTTTTTTGCTGTGTATATTTTCACACAAAAGGGGGGGAGGTGCAAGTAAGAAGTTATAACAAAAATGAAAGCAGAAATGTATAACATTGGTTTTTACTTATTTGTTTCTTTGGCTTTTCCTTCTTAAGTTGAACCGTGGCACTTGGATGCTCAGTATATAGTTCTAAACTAAATCGAAGCACCCCTTTTTAAGCTTGAAATATTTCACAATACTTTTTAGGTTTGTCAAACTAGTATCTACAAGGTAGATAAAAAGAAACAATGCTGTGAGAAACGCAGACATAGGATGCCGTGTATGTATGGTAGGCTGCTTTTGGTGTAAGAAAGTGGTCTGAAGTAGAAACCAGAATAAGAAAAAGGGCTCATCTATCTTGTATTTGTAAGAAGAGACTGGAAAGTTGGGTGTGAAAGCCCAGTAAGCTGTTACCTATGAGAGAACTCAGAGAAGCAGGGTGGAGTGAGCGGAAATAAAGCATTTCAGTGAAAAGTTTTATCTTGTTTTGGTTTCTGAATCATGAGAATATATTTCCTATTTTGGAAATGAAATTTACTATTTAAAAATTATTTTAAATGTCCAGACCACTTCCATTGCTTTAATAAATATACAGAGCTTTGATTAAGGCATGTTAGGCTGGTTTCTCTAGAGAAGCAAAAAACTAGTGACACTTATCTAAGAAAAAAATGTATATCACGAGGGAAGCCCACACAGCTACAGAGCGAGCAAGCCCAGTACAGCGCAAGTCTGAGAGTGAGATGCTAAACTGGAGACCCTTCCCGACTCATGCAGCTGCCGGGCCAGCAAGTCAAGAAGCAAGACCACAAACTGACAGCAGCTGACTCGAGTCCAAAGTTGGCGAGCAACATGGCAGGCTGCTGGCCCAAGTTTCATGGAGCTAGATGTGGGATCCAGGCCAACAGGAAGAAGGGAAGGGAGTTTTCAATAGCATCTATTTACCTATAGGGAGTGAGCCACCTCCCAAGGAGGTATCATCAGGCTGTGATCCAGTAAGGGATTGGACTCCACCCTAACCTTGCTAAAATGACTTGCTACATTATGTTAGGTCTCACCAGGGCGGAGACCTTATTGCCAAACTACTGAGAATCCTGGTCCAGCCACGCTGATGCAAACCTATCATAAGGAGTCACCATGCCATCTGACAAGATTGGTTCAGTGTTTACCATAAAGTCTATGAATAAATATTTAAAAGGTAAGTGTTGAGCCTTGAAAGGCAAGCTGGGCAGCAGTCTACAGTGTCACTGGATTAGGAACAGGTCCTGTTTCTGAAGATTAGGATGGTCCAAGCCCCTTTAGGTCTCTAAAGGCAGCAGGTGAGTGTGGTCACGTAAAATGAAGACGTAAGGAGCCCCGGTGGTGTGGTCAGGTAGGTAGCCTCAGAACCCCTACGCTATAGCACCACTCGAGTCAGAAGTGAATCGATAGCCGTGCATTCGGTTTGCTTTTTGGTTTCAGGTGGAGAAAGTAGCCTTGTGCCAGGGGGTAGTGACGAGGGAGATCTAGACTGCAGATGTGAAAGGACAAAACCACCATCATTGGTGCTGGCCCCCAAAGGGGCCTGGGAGAATCTAGCCCGGGAAGGAAAGACAAGCAGCAGTGGGCGCTACCTGCCTACCTGGGGGCAGACTTGCCCCGCCAGTACCAAGAAAGAGGCCCCCTCCAGCAAAGAGGCAGATGGAGAAAATATCTGTGGACCGAGTTTTATTGAAAGCACTGAGTTAAACTGAAAAAAATCAAGCCACCACTAGCAACTATTGGTTAAAGTCTCTCTCGTCTCCCATCCAAAGGAGTCCTGGTGGCGCTGTGGATGAGGCGCTGAGCTAACCCAGCGGCTGTGTGGGGGAAAGACCGGCTGTCTGCTCCCATGCAGCGCTACAGCTTCAGAACCCCTCAGGGGCAGTTCCACTCTGTCCTCAAAGGTCACTCGGAGTTGGAATTGGCTCAGTGGTGGTAATAAATGGACAAAGGCTCCATCCGCTGCCCGGTCGGATGTGACCAGAGGTGCACTGGTCCTCGGAGCTCTTGAACTGAGCTCCCCCCACTGGCAGCCAGTTAGCACTGTGGGTAGGGAGCTCAGCTCTGAGCTCTTCCCTGGCTCACCTCCTCCCGCTCCTCCCAGTGTTCGCTGGAGTCACCTCCCGCATCAACCACGCGCACCCAATCCTTGCCTCAAGCTCAAGAAGCCTACTACCCCCAAGCTAAGGCAGCGGTTCTCAACTCGGGGGTCGGCAAACCTTTCACAGGGGTCACCCGATTCATAACAGTAGCAAAATGACAGTGAGGAAGCAGCAACGATAATAATTTTATGGTTGGGGGTCACCACACATGAAGAACTGTATTAAAGGGTCCCGACATTAGGAAGGTTGAGAACCACTGAGCTAAGGTAAAAGAATGAAATCAGGGGCACATTAAAAGACACGTGCGGGGAACGAGAGGTAAAGGCAACAAGGAGTTTATTCAGACCCCCATCCAGAGAGGTGCTCACTCACAAAGCAACACCAAACCCAATGCCAGGGGCGCATTCAGACTCCCTGCGACCCCACATAAGGTTCTGAGACACTGTACGGGAAGACCGCCTCATCTTTCTCCCGCTCGCTCTCTCAGCGGCAGACCTGCATCACTTAGACTCGTGGGAACAGGGTGAGATCACACAGGCCGAGTTTTTCATTCAAAATGAGAACGCCGACGACGCAGAGGCCGGGCTGATCGCACCCACCCGACTGGTGCCTTCTCTCCTCGCAGGAGGGTGGGGGGTGGGGGTGGAGGGGGAGGCCAGGATTTTCTGGAGACATGGGTCGGAACCTAAGAAACAACAAAAGCCTCCCATGGAGGCATGCTTCTGAAATGTGGGGGGACCTGGCACCGAGCTGGCCTCGCTGACAACCATCCCTGTTGCTGTTGCCACAGGGGGTGCCAAGTCAGAGCCTGTCCATGTGGGAGGCACAGCACCCCCAGGCGCACTGGTGCTCCCATGGGTTTGAGAAGGTGATGCAGGCAGTGTGCAGAGCAGAACCCCCTCGCTGCCCGGGCCCCAGCCACTGTCGGGGGCGGGTTGGCAGGTCAGAAAGGGGAGGTGAGTGGAGCAGCGGGGTGGGCTCCACACGGGGTCGGAATCAGTCACGCCCCTGCTCTGGGCCCAGGCTGTGCTGTGATTCTGGATCGCTGGCCCGTCCATTTGTCCTGTGTGGGGCAGCACATCAGAGTGGGTGCAGGCTGAGTGGGAGGCAGAGGCCGCGCTTCATCTGACTGTGCCAGGCCTCTGTCCTCCCTCCCACCCTTTCGGGCAGCCCCTCTCTAGGGAGAGGGTCAGAGGGGCCAGGCAGTACTGAGCTCCTTCTCCAGGCCCTGGACGAACTGGTCATTGAGGAAGAGCAGCTGACCATGGGGCAGGAAGCGGGTGAGGATGGCCTCGATGCGGTCCGCCCGTAGCAGAAGGCTGGTGCCAGGGGCCAGCAGGCGGAGGTGGTCAGAGAGGAGGCGTGCCAGCAGCCGGAGGGTGCTCTCAGCCAGAAGCAGGTTCTCATGGGCATCCAGGACCAGCGCGAAGCCTAAGGAGAACATGCCCAGCCAGACCACCGTCCGGGGCTCCTGGAAAGGGTCCCCTGCTGCCAGGCGGAAGGCCCCATGTGGGGCATCATGCAGGGACATCGGTTCATCTGAGGATGACGGAGGCTGCAGGTCCACCGATGAGCGGCCGGATGCCTGCTGCTGCAGCTGGCACATAGACTCCACCTGTCTGGGAGAGAGTGGGTGGGCAGGCCAGCAGTGAGGGGCCTCATTAGGCCGCGGAAGGAGCCCCATACACATGGACAAGTACCCCAGCCACCTCTGGAGCCCGGAGTTGGCACTCCCCATTTTTCAGATAAAGCTGCTGAGGCCCAGAAAGATTACGGTAAGTGTCCTGCCTAGGGCCACACAACCAGGAAGCATGCTACCAGGTAGGAGTCCAGGCTACCAACTCAGGCCCTGAACCACTTTCTCTTGGGATCAAGAGAAAAGAGGTTTTAAAAACAGCCCCTGGGGTGGGAAAGGATCCAGGGTGGAAATTCCTGCCCCACCTGCTCCGCCTCAACATGAAAAGAAGCAGGCACAAGGAAGTGGAATCAGCTGCCACCAGCCCTGCCTGTGCAGCCGTAGCTCCCATCTGCATCTGCAGCCCTCTCCAAAGGAAAGAAGCCTTAGACGCCACTCTCCAACCTTTGCTGAAGTGCCTTTGACTTTGGGCCTTGAGGAGGCGGGTTTTAAAGGCCCTTGCCTGGCAGGCTGTGCTACAGAAATGGAGTGGAGACCAAGAGGAACACGGAGGTGGCAGGAGGGGCCCCAAGAACATTAACCAAGTTCTCCCCTCCCGGTTGCCCTTCCCCCTTACAGAAAGGAGAGAGGGCAGGAGACACTGGAGCAGGAGAGGCGCTAAGGCCAGCCACACAATCTGTGCTGAGGCTCCTAGGCCTCCCGGAGATTCTGGGCAGAAAGCATTACCACGAACTGCTTCAGACATTCTGGAAGTCCTGCACACGAAACCGGTTTAGCCTGCCGACACTCACATCTCAGTTCTGCTGCTTTCTACAACCTTTGGCAGGTTAAGTTCCTGACCCTCTCTTGGCATCTGTTTACACATCAGTAAGGTGGGCTTCATCAGGGCCCTGCCTCAAAAGACTGCTGCAGGATTAGAAGTAACCATGCATGAGATTAGGATTAGAGTAACCACGCATGAGATGCTCAGAAAAGGGCTCGCTGGGCACCTACTGGAATTTTTCTTTGCAGCTGCTGTTGATGCGATCGAGGCTCTAGAAAGGAACTGTGTGCCTTAGTTTTCAATGGCTGGTTTTTAGACATAGATTGCCAGGGCTTTCTTCTGAGGCGCCTCTGGGTGGACTCGGGCCTCTATTGGTTAGTAGCCGAGTGTGCACCATGCAGTGACTCCTAACTACAAACTCATCAAAGGCTCACTATGACCATAACCAGGAAAATCCACCATCCTTCCTTTAACCCTTTCTCATGTGCTACGAACAGCTATGGAAGACCCTTTGGGAAACGCCTTTTAAAACATTATGTCTGTTCCTTCCTCCTTCCATTTCCCAGGGTAGCCGGAAAATTACCACAGTCAGATAAGTACTGGGGGACAGCCTGGGTCTGGGCTGGGCGGTTACCTGGCAACGGCCAAGATCTGCTCCTTGCGGAGGAGTCTGTCCCTCTCGGCCCCGTTTGGCCTTGGGTCATCAGGTGACTTCTCCGCACCAAAGACACAGGAGTAGAGCACTCGGCAGAAGCCAGCGTCCTTGTCATTCGGGGCCCGCAGGGTGTGGATGAGGAAGGCGTGGACCATGGCTCCCAGGCAAGGGCTGCAGGGAAGCCAGAGACCTCAGTGAGGTGAGAATGACCATCCCCAGGGTCACCCACAGAGGGTGTGAGAGTGTGACCTGTTCACCAGCCCAAGGTCCTCGCCAGCCTCTGAATAATGGCATTAGGTCGACATCACCTCTGGTGTTCTTCCCAATAGCCCTGGTGGCATAGTGGTTATGAGTTGGGCTGCCATCCTAAAGGTCAGCAGTTTGAAACCACCAGCTGCCCTGTAGGAGAAAGATGAGGCTCTCTACTCCCATAAAGAGTTACAGTCTCAGAACCCCACAGGGGCAGTGCGATGGCAGTGGATTTGAGTTGAGTAATATTGAGGAGACTCAGGACGGCTATACTTCGTACTATAAAACAAAGAGCCAGGAAACTTCAAAATAGTCCAAGGCATTGGGGTGAGAGAAAACTGAGGAGCTGCTCCAGAGTAAGGGAAACCTACCAGCCTGGATACAGGTATCTTGCTGGATGGGCTCCTGGAGCAAGAAATAGGTCATTTCAACAGCAAGCATGAAAGCCATTGGGAAATATGAATGTGGACTATGTGGACTATGGATGGGGTTGGTCTTGATCAGTGTTAACTTCTTGATTTTGAATATAGAGGGCATCCCTGTTCTTAGAAAATGCACACTTCCTGTATGTAAGGACCATGGGTGTTAGGAGTTGCTGTAATTTGATTCCGATGCACAGCGACCCCATGGGTGCAGGATAGAACTTCTCCAGAGATTTTTCCTCACCTTTAGGAAGCAGACCATCGGGCCTGTGTTTGGAGGTACCTCTGAGGGGGTTCAAGGCACCAACCTTACTGAGTAGTAGCGGGAACTCACTGCCACCGAGTGGTTAGAACTCATAACGATCCTATAGCACAGGGCAAAGCTGCCCTCATGAGTTTCCGGGGCCGTAACTCTGAACATGAATAAGAAAGTCCAGTTTTCTCCCGAGTTGGGGCTGGTGCTTTCAAACTGTGGCCCTAGCACTAATCATGACACTTCCAGGGCTCCTCTGTAGGGGTAAAAGAGTATAACATCTGCAACAAACTCTCACACTGTCCAGCCCAAAAACCAAACTCGCTGTCTTCGAGTGGATGCCAACTCAGTGACCTTGCAAGACAAGGTAGAGACTGTGTTTGAGACTGTAACTCTTTACTGGAGTGGAATGCCCCAGTCTTTCTCCTTCACATTATCCAGTCGGGGGAGGGGACGGGAGGAGAACACCAGTGGGGCAAAATCTTATTGATGAAAACTCCCCGATGTAGCAACGATGAAAAATACAACTTTTCTCTAGTTCTTAAATGTTTCCTCTCCGCTCCCACTATCATGAATTCTACCTTGCAAGCCTGGCTAGACCAGAGGATGTACACTGATACAGATAGGAACTGGAAATACAGGGAATCCAGGGCAGATGAGCCCTACAGGACCAGTGGTGTGAGTGGCGATACAGGGAGGGTAGAAGGAGAATGGGTTGGAAAGAGGGAACCGATTACAAGGAACTATATGTGACCTCCTCCCTGGGGGACAGACAACCGAAAAGTAGGTGAAGGGAGATGTCGGACAGGGCAAGATATGACAAAATACCCATTTATAAACTATCAAGGGCTCATGAGGGAGGGGGGAGGGGGGAGGGAGGGGAAACATGAGGACCTAATGCCGGGGTCTTAAGTGGAGAGGAAATGTTTTGAGAATGATGAGGGCAATGAATGTACAAATGTGCTTTATACAATTGATGTATGTATGGATTGTGATAAGAGTTGTGTGAGCCCCTAATAAAATGATTAAAAAAAAGAAGAAAACTCCCAATTTTCTACAAGTTTGAAATTATTAAAAAATAAAGATTCCTAAATAATAACCACAGAGTCTGGTTGCTCAGCGGTTGATATTTGTATCCTAATGCTTCAAGGCAGCCCTAAAGGACAGAGGAGAACTGCCCCGGTGAGTTTCTGAAACTAACTCTTTCAAGGGAGTAGAAAGGCTCTTCTTTTTCCCGTGGAACCACTGTTGCTTTTGAACGACTGACCTTGCAGTTAGCAACCCAACGTGTCACCACTACACCACCGGGACTCCTATGTTTATATCTGTCGTTAAGGCCAAGTCGATACGTCATCAGTTTAAACAGGAAGACCTGAACCTTCCCGTGACCCTCAACCACAGGAATGGAACGTCATCAGCCCTCGCCTGTCGGTGCCCTCTGCCACAGAAAAATAATAGTGGCCCACAGCCCCTTTGGTCATCGCATCGCGCAACCCCGTGGCGCAGTGTATTCTGGGGGTTGTAGTTCTTATTCCAGTCAGCCAGCTCAACGAGAGGGACCCCCGCTCCCGGAGTATGCTGCCCGAGTCCAGGCTTGAGCTTCTGGCCTCGAGGCGTCGAACTCACCCTTCCCCCAGGAGACGGTGGACTTCCAGGAACAGGCCGTTCTCCTTGGCAGCGCAGCAATGGCAGCTGCGCGCCTTTCGGCGCCTGCGCACGCTGCTTTGGGCACGCGCACGGGCCTGGGGGCGCACAGTGGGTGGGGCGGTCCGGTCCGAGTGGTGGCGGGTGGTTGCGTGGAACTTATTTACGACGGCTGATCATAGGCCGTGGGCAGCATTCACCGTCGCAGACCCCAGCGCCGAGCCCGGTGGGGTGGGGGCCGCGCTGGTCACTTGCAGAAAGGGCTCGCCGATTGCCCGCTCGAAGTCGTCGCCGACTCTCGACGGCCGCGAGGGGGCGCAGCGGCCCGACGGCAATCCCGCGCAGGCGCTCTGCGGAGCTAACGTTCCTACCAGTGGCGGTGTCGTCATCAGCCAGCTAGGTTCGGATTGGCGGCGATGCCTCCCAGCCTTGTGGGCCTGCGGGTGGACACTGGGCACGACGAGCCCGGGCAGGGTGTGGGGCTGAGTTTTCCAGCTAGTAGGCGGATCTTTGCTCTTTGCCCCCGGAAATTAGATTTTAATAGAAAATCTGTACAGTATATTGAATTAATTCCTTGGGAGATTCTGGGCTGTGGGTTCCCGCAATGGGTTAGGAGTCAAAATGTTTGAACTCTGGCCCCATCCCGGTCACTAATTGCGCCCCGTGCAGGTTAGTGGACCGGACTTACCTAAACTCCAGTGAAGGTCCGGAGAGTTAGAAGGAGGAACTAATACCCCGCCCTGTGTTTTTTTCCCCATCCCCGGGTCTGAGCAGCTGTGTTAGCGTAGTTAGGTTACCGGTTGGGCTGCTAACCTCACGGTCAGCAGTTCAAACCCATCAGCCGCTTCGCGGGAGACAGATGAGGCTTTCTGCTCCTTTAAAGATAGCCCCAAAGCCATCGAGTTGGCGCCAACTCATAGCGACTCAGTAGGGCAGGGTAGGACTGCCTGTGTGAGTTTCCAAGGCTGTCACTCGTTATGGGATTAGAAAGCCCGATCTTTCTCCAGGAGAGAGACTGGTGGTTTCCACCGTGTAACCACTCCACCTTCAGGGCTCCTTTTAGAAGATTTACAGCCTCAGAAACAGAGCAGTTCTAGTTTGGGTCACTAGCAGTGAGTTTTGGAGTTTTAGACTCCTAACTGCCAACAAACAAATTCTTTCCTTGATCCCAATTTGAGCGAACTGTAGTGAAAAGGATTAAACCACTGATGAAAGTGTGGTGGGGTAGGGGTAGGGCAGAACCCAGGTGTGGAGGCTTGACCCTGGGATAGGCTAGGCTGGGCTGGGCCTTTGGGCCTTGCTGCCTGCCCTGCGTAACCCCCATTCCCACCCCAACCCCGCCCTGCTGTACCTCGTGGCCGGTGGCCTCATTCCTCCCTAGGTGTGGTCCAGTGGTCTGTGCCTCAGAGCTTCCTGTCTTCACAGGCTAGACTGCCCCCTTGCCTGGACTGCCCTGCCCTGCCCTCCCATTTCTGACTCTCAAAGTGCATTCAAGGCTAACACTTTGGGGAAGCTGTTCTTCCTGGACTGTCCACTAGCATTCGCTGTCCTCTGCCTCCCTGGTGAGAGTCCACCTGCAGCAGCATTGTCTCATGGGTGTAGCCAGTTATCACAGGTCTTCACTCCCCAGGGGCCATGCCCAGGGCAGGACTGGAGTCCATCTAAGCACACTCCTAGGTGACAAGAAATGGAAGGCAGGGGAGTGTACTTGGTCCCCTCAGGCTACTGGACCCAACAGGGTGGAAGTGGTAGGAATGGACCGGGGATATGGGTGTTTTAACCATAGGTACAATACACACAGACTTGCACACAGTGAGGTGGCCCCAGAGACGGGAGGACTTTGGCCACAGGATTGGGAGTGTCTGGGGTGATGTCTGGGGTGAGTAATAAGTTCCTGGTCCTGGGCGCCTTCCCTATCTCTCTCAGCCAGGCCTCTAGTCTGCCAGCTGATTATACCACAGAGCTGGCAGAGGGCTCTCTGGTTGCTGGGGATCGGAACAGGGTGCCTCGCCAGCCCCACGTGGCATCTGGGGACGTGTCATGAAGGCGCCTAGGGGCCAGCCTTGTGTGGTGTGGGTGGAGGAGATAGGCCTGCATCACCTATCCCAGGGCACAGTGAGGGTGGTATCAGGAGGACTTCCTGAGCCTCGTGGGGTGGTGATCTTGCAGGAAGCTTTGACTGGGAGGCTGATTGTGGGTTTGCTCTGGGAAAACCCTCCTCCACGGCCCTTGGCTTCCCTGGGGCCCCAGTGTGTATGTGCTGTGTACTATCTGAATAAGCATTGACACTGGCTCGGACATCGTTTTGAATGGCCAGCCAGGCGGACCCTCCGCATGCTGGCCCGTTCCCTGCTGTGCTGCCAGTGAGCCAGCAGTCCCGCCCCCCCCCCACCCCCCGTATTCCTGAGCAGATGGCCACCCAAAGACCAGGGCCAGAGCAGCAGTCGGCGAAGGATGGCTTTTGAGCCTTATGCAGCTTTTTCAGTACACACATGTAGCTCTGAAGTGAAATCGAAATTTCATTATTCAAATACTGGTGATTTTATTTGTTTCTAAAATTACATCTATGGCTCTCCGACATTTTTACATTGCTGTTAGTGACAGGATTGGCTTTTCTGTCTCAAAAGTTTGCCGGCTCCTGGGCTAGAGGGTTCTTAACAGCTCGATTCTGCATCGCCCCAGCCAGAAACTGTAAAAACCCATCAGCTGGGGTGGGGGTGGGGGGACGGCAGTTGTGGTCCACTTGCCCGATGGAATCCCACATATCCATGGAAAAGTGTGAACGGCTACTGCACGCGCAGTGTGGGTGAGTCTCAGACATGCAGCATCAAAGCCAGCACAGAAGCACGCGAGCAAGTGCACCCATTCGTAGAAAAGGTACAAACCCAGGCGAGCCTGGTCACAAGTCAGAATGCTGGTGCCCCTTGGGAGGAGTCACTGGAGGGCCACAGTGGGGGCCCGGGGCTGGTTACATGCTGGGTGGTGGTCAGAGGGGTGTGGACTCAGCACTGTTTTTGTGTGGTGGTTTAGTTCAACAAGAACTGGCCATAAGATATGGAAACTAGCCAGCTCAGGGGGCCACAGAGCACCGGCCACCTCCCTCTCACTTTCAGGTAGCTCTTTCAAGTCCTTCCACAGGCTGACATTTCCCTAAACTGACAGCCGTTCACTTGGAAGTTGGGGGTTAATCTGTGAGTTAAGGCTGTGACAGACTCCTTGCCCTGCAGTGGAAAAACAAACACAGTCTTGAATTTGCACCTGGTTGAGATTTTGAACTTCGGAAGAGATTTTGGCCACAGCCTCTCAATGGGTAGATGACTCAACAGGCTCAGAGATGTGCCCCGAGGTGGACCGTGTCACACAGCAAAGTGCTGTGCAGAAGGCGGGTCCTGAGAACCTCTGTGCTTGGGGCCTGAGCGCTCTTCCTCAGGGAAGCCAGCGCAGAGGTCAGGCAGGCTGGAAACACACGTGGATGGGACTGCAGAGGGTGGCCGTGTTGTAGAAGAAAGGGGAGCAGATCACCATCGCTCACTCATTGTTTATCGCTCATTCTGCTGGGCCTGCCCTCGGCGCGCTCCCAGTCTCCAGTGTCCAGCAGGTTCTGTGTAGACAGTTGCAATAGCCAAGACCAGGGAACAGAGGGGACCAACACATTCGGGAGTGAGAGAAACCCTGGAGGAACAATCTGGGAAGGCTGCATGGGAGTGGTGGCATCTGATTTGGGCTTTCTGGAGAGGTAGAAGTGTGGCAGCATTAGCGGGCAGGAAGGGTACCTGGATATGGGGACTAGATTCGGGCAAACACCAAGGCTGGGGAGGAGCCAGCCTTGCTGGACTTGGTCCAATGCCAGCCCTCCTTTGTACAGAGGACCAAAGTCTAGTCAGAAATACCCCCAAAGCCTTCTCGGCAGCTGGGCCCTAGGGGTCGGGTCTTGCACTGGAGATAAGTCTCTCCTAGCTAGGAACTCAGGAAAGCATCATTTTCTAGAAATGGGCTGTCATTCCCTTGTTTTTGCTCCCCCTAGCCATCTTGAGCCCCTAAGGTCAAAAGCCACATGCCAAAGCCAGACAGGATTCGGAGAGCATGGCTCCCAGGAGACCCTACAGAGCCACACTCCATGCTGAGTGAAGAGAATACACATTTATTTGGCTAAGCTACTACAGGTTTCTGTTATACGCAGCTGAATGGATTCCCAGGTGGTGAGGTCGGGATTCTGGAAGGGCCCGGAGGAGCCTGGCACATAGTAGGTGCTCCATAAATCAACGCACATTGGCAACCCTTAGTCCAGAGGCAGGATAAGGTAGGCATCAGGCTTTGATTAGCGCTGGGCCAGTTGAAGCCTTCTGGGCCCGCTGTCAGCTCCGAGGCACGATGATGGACAGGCTGGACTTCCTGGGCTTACAAGACCCACCCTCAAGACCACAGAGAACACTTGTGTAGAGGGAAGTGTGGGAGGCTTTTGCAGGGCCCCAGCACACAGTAGATGCAGATGTGGGTTGTGGGATATGGATGGTTTCTGTGTGACAGATAAACAGAAGGGAGAAATGTGAAGCACCAGAGATGTTTGGCGGAAGCAGGCGGCAGGGTCTGTGGCCCTGGGTAGGCCCAGGGCCCTCCCTCCTGCTCCCCTACCCCCCGCTCAGGCTGTGGGCAGGGAAGCCCTCCGCCAACCTGCAGCCTTGCACCTCTCATGGCCCTCTGAGTTGTGGGGGATGGCCTACAACCCCTCCCTACCCCTCACCTGGTCCTCTTCCCACACTGCCACTGCCCAATGCTATGTCTATGGGGCAGGAGCTCCTGCCCCACAGTGGAGGTTGCCTGGTGCCCCCTGCTTGGACATGCAATCCATGACTGGTACGGGCCCACCTACCCGAGCCACAGCCAGGCCCAGAATTACCAGCAGGCAACCAGGTGTGGCATGCTCTGCTCCAGTCTTCATCCCCCTCACAAGTGCCTTCTCTGAGACATCAGCACTCCGCACCCTGTGTCTGCTTGCACACCTCCCAGGACGGCCCCCACTCCCTCGGGTCAGCCCGATCGGTGGAGCGTGTGTGTGCACGTGTGAACAAGCACATCCACCACCACTATTTAGTT